AGCGATAAAATAATAAAACACACAATAACCTTTTTATAGCAATGTTCTTAGTAGAGCATTCAGACTCATTAGTTAACGGTCCAGTTCTTTCTTCCAGTACAAATGCAACTGCTGCATGTAACAAAAAGAATGTAAGGAGGTATAATCAGAATATAAAATCTCTTTTCATGTTATTGTTTCATTTAATAAATTATTACCTGGTGTTGGGAGATATAATGATGGAAAACTGCCCTCTTTTAATAATCTCCTTCCATGAACACCATAATGAAAACAGTCTTCTGTGAAATGTAATGAACAAATTGTAGTTCGAGCTCCCAAAACTACGTTAATTCCTAGAATATGTTTCCATTTTTTCCTCTCATTTTCACAGGAAGGAAACCTGTAATATTTATTATTTATTCATTATTTATTTTATATTTTCACATCAAACATAATTTTAAAGCTTTGTAAATGAGATATTTAAGCTTTTCACGAATCTAACCTAATATGTGTACCTACTTATGAAATGATCTTTTAGGTTCTTTATCTCCTCGCCACTTGCACACCCAACAAGTATACACCATATTTCTATGTACTTCTCTAATACAGACTCGATACGAATCGAAAATGACACTTATGCAAGATTTCCGAGACTCGAAACGTTGCACAGATATCTTACAAAAAAGGGTGATTGATGGCCACGATACGTTCCTACGCGATGAAGGAGGAACCAATCACAATCTTAGAAAAAGAGGGAATTTGGCCGCAACCTACGTCCCTCTCTCTCATTTTCCTCGACCAACATATCCTATACCACTTACTGTAGTTATACACGGATCGCGCAGTTCATTCTCTATGTCTTTGATTCCGACATATTTCATGATAGGTACCCAGGCCTAAAGTGTGCTCTATACGTGCTCACGTATCCCTCGTTTGCTTGCTCGAGTAGGACGGACGCTCGTCTGCCCTGCTTCGGATATTGCATCATTTCATTAATTTTTTGAAAAGCGATTCCGGCTTTAATTGTGATTAGTAAGCATGGCCATGTTCACCCCGTTGTCGAGGGCCTGGGCCAATTAAATTAATAAGAAGAAGAAAGTGCTCACGTATCCCACGTGTGTTTCAAGTAGAAACTTATTATAAACCATAAATTAGAAATTAGGAATTAGAAATACGATTCAATTTACAGAAAAATAAAATATATTAAGAAACCGTTTTTCTTGATAAATAGAAAATTAAAAATCAAAATAATATTTTTTATAATTTCAAATTCTTACAAAAAAATTTTTATCAACAATCGATAAGTTATCCATCATCGCCTGTATAGTTAATAACTTTATCGGCTGCTAATTAAGTAATTACTATCCATCGTATAATATACAAATCTCTAATATAATTATCGACATTATACGTGCGTGCGTGCGTGCGTGTGTAATATTATAATATTATTATTCCAATTGTCAATTATATAATCTACAAAAATGTTAAATTTAAAAAATTGATAATATATATATCAAAGGATTCCACACGCACACAACACATTTTATCCGAAGAACCTCCTGTATTTCGATTTTGTATAACTTTTCAAATAACATGCATAAAAGATGTCTAAAAGACGCCATTAAACATATTTTCCAGATAGCACAAAAAGAATTCGGTCGGATGTCATCAATTCCGAGTTCATTTTCGGATGCAAAAAGAATGCTTTTCATAATTGTTTAGAAAAAATTCTTTTTGTGTCTAAAAATGAATTCTAAATTGATGACATAGGAATTGCATTCTTTTTTAATTCATTTTGGACTCCCTGTGTTATCTGGATTTAGACATAAGACATTTAAAAGATGTCTTTTAGATATCTTATGCAACATAAATGTTGCATAAGATATTGTTATTCTTTTCCTAAAAATAGAAAAAAAAACAAGTATAGATAACACGACAGAAACTATTAAGAGAGCACAACAAATGACAAGAAAAAAATAAAATTACAGTATAAACGTCTTTATTTTTAAATATATAATAATTATTTGAATCTATAATTACTGTTTAAAAATGTATGTAGAATAATATATACATATGTCTGTCATTGAAGAAAACGATAGAAAATACATAGTGCAAATAAGTAAATATTTTTTTGTATTTTTTAAAACGAAGACAGGTATACTTATATACAAAATATATGCAGAACCAATAAAAGACCGGTATCCAACTAAAAGCATTCATGAAAAGTTCGATTTATATTCTCAATGTTCATATTCCGGAACAACAAAAGAATTTTAATATTCAAATTATAACGAAATGTTCAGAATATTGTATCAACACTCTTGTATAAGTATATCACGAAAATCACTCGCAAATAGTATACATCCCCGTCGACAAAGGACCGTAAAGATGCATTAACTCGTAAATAAGAATCACATGGAAAAAAATATAAGCGCAACATAGTAAATCTATTAAAAGTATATTAATTAAAAGTATATCAATCGCCTAAAATGACAAAACATTATCCATTTCAAAAAATTTGAAATAGAGATTTTGAGACGGATAATATTTTAAACTACTTTAAATACTAATCAAGTGTATAATCACGATAAGTAAAATAAACAGCATAAAAATCGAAGTTCCGCGTATTATAATTTCAAATGCTTGTCTCTGTCATAAAAATCGTCGTTTCTCTTTGGCTATTCATAGCAAGACTGAGTATTACGCCAACGCAACATACGTGCACAGATTACGATGCATGAATATTTAGATATGTGATGCGCATGTCTCAAGTACATTATAATTGGTGCAACTTTATGCGCGAGATATTTATGATTCCGAATGTATAATATAAACATACATCAAAGTGAATAAGAATTTCATTGCACTTGAATGTAACGTAAAAACCATGATAATATGGGATCTTATAAATTGAATACGTGATTTCTTTAACGTTCATACTTTTGAGAAAGAGTTTTACGAAGCAAGAGTATGACAATTACATCCTGAACATTACTCCAAATTTTTAATAATCATTGCATTTATTTAATATTATATTTCTCTTGTATATTTTATTCTCTTGTATATTTTTATCGAATCAAAACTTTATTTCAAAATCAAAGCTTTATTTCAGATTTACTTCATTGATATAATTTTATCGTTATTTTTATTGACGCGAGGTAAAAAGATTTGCGCCTGTTTCCATCAACCCAACACAAGAAACCATCAATTAAGTATGTCCGTTTGTATCAATATAATTTAATTTTAATCTGGGTTCAGCTAATTTTTCTTCTTTTTTCAGTTCTAAGAATTTTAAAAAAAAATGAAGGATAAATCGAATCGAGATTAAAATCAATCTGTATTAAAAAAGAAATGAGTATTAAATATCGAAATAATCGATATTACACCGTCGACTGATCGACATTAAGGGGATGCTGGAGTGACGGTCAAACTTAATCAAGGTCGATAGTACAGACTTTGTTAAATTCCAAATTCGATAATAGTGACATCTTTCATTCATTTCTTATACTTATCATATATCGTTGTGTCTCGCTCAAACGCATTCATCTGTCCTTATC